AAAAAAAAAAAAGGGCAGAAAACCGCCCTGTAGGTTTTGAAGGCAGGTGGTAAACTCGGAGGCGAGGGAAGTGCTCGCTGAGGGCTTGAGCAGGGTAGTTCTGGGTTTGGTAACTGTGCCCTGGTGTCTGTGCATGGACCCGCTAGTCCAGCTTCTGTCTTCGGTAGTGTGCTTGAGATATTTAAGTGACCGTATAGGAACGGAAAAGATTTTTGTAGCTTTTTGGAGGTAGTAGCATCTGCATATTAGTGGACAGGCAAGGAGATGAGCTTGGAAGAGAGGGCTTCATCTCTTGTCTTAGCAGTAACCTAACTCCAAAGGTACCATTATTCAGAAGGAACAGCTTGGAAGTCGTTCCCCCCCCCCCCCCTTTTTTTTTTTTAATTTGCTGCACTGCATGGTGTGGGGATGCCTTTTTGCATACTAGCTGTACAGATGCCTAATGGCAAAGGACTTAGATCGTGGTCTTAAAACTTGGAGAAGGTTAGTACCATTCAGTGTTCAGGTCAACTCACTTTGACTAAATCTTATTGCTTGTATTTTTTTTTTCCTGGTGATACTATTCCTGATGATATTGCTTCATACAAGCGGTGCTATGCTGTCAGAAATATCTCTTATTCCGTAGAGCTCTGATAGCAATAAGCTGTGCAGTTTTGGTACTTCTTTGTTTCGTTTATCAGTAACATGAGAAACTTGCATTCCTCCATGACATAAGTCTGAGGAAGGCCTGTCAGTGCCCCCACTCTTTTCATGCCTCAGTCTGCTAGTCAGTTACCTCCTTTATATAAAAATAAGGACTAGTAAATAAATTTGATTAATATTTAAGCACATATAAGTAAAATAAAAAGTTGGTAGTAAGACTGCTCGTTTTGTAGTTATTCCTACGTGTAGCTGACTGTTGAGGAAACCCTCAGCTGTTCCATGGAAACGCGGGACAGTGCGGTGAAAATCAGAAGCTCACCTATGTTGAGGAACTAAAAATGTTTTTAAAGGTCTAAAGAAATACAGTTATAAAGTATAGCACACTGTGAAAGCTTGCTTTGGTGTTCCAAAGTGTGAGGTTGGCCTTTTCTGTTTCTCTTTTTTCGAAAGTTTTCTAGCAAAAGGGAAAAAAAAAAACTTCTTACTGAAGAGGAAAAAAAGCCTTCTTAAACCAGTAACCTTAATTCAATATGTTTGAAGGCATGGAGTATTCTGGCTCTTTTGGGGGGGACGGGAGAAATATCTGCTACAGCACATTATGCAGTAAGACATTATTGCTTACAAGCTTTTTTTGATCACATGGGGAAAAAAAAACTGTGAACAGAAATGTGATAATGTTGACAGAAGCAGAAGAATCACCAGTGTCCTTAAAACTGTCATTACTACAAGTTAAGCTATTAGTTAAACTAAGAAAGTTATTTCTGTTGTTATTGAACATTTCTATTTTTTGGCATTGAAAAGTAGCTTTGGGTTTATTTGATTTTTCTCAGATGAGTGTTTCTTCATTGTGGGTTTTAATTTCTGGAATTTTGGTGTTATGAGAAAATAGTAACAAATCATAAGTGTCTGAGTCAGTTTAGATACAGTGAGAGAGGTGAAAATGGTAATAATTGTGCTTGGGAGAGTGGATAAGATTACTAGCTGCAGTTAGATCAATAACAGGGACCAGCCAGAAAAAGTAGGCAGATTGTTACATTCTGCTGTGGACCATGTGCAGGGAATAAGAGGCATATTTGGCTGTAGTCAAGTCAAAATTGTCTCATTTTTTTTCCTTTTCCTTTGTTTGGTTTTGACTGTAATTTAACACAACTAGGAAGTAGAGTGTTTCCAAAATGAGACGAGGGTATTTTCAGATGGTTTTGCAGCTGCAGTATCTGAGAGGGCTAGACATCCTTTATTTGAATATTGTAGCGCTGTTTAAGTTACATGAAACTTTTTAGTGCTAGATGGTAGATTGCATTTTGTTGGCTGATAAGCACAAATATTTCAGGACTGTGTAATTGTAATGGAGTATGTTACAGTGAGTATGCTTGAAACGTGTTGCAAAATGAAAGTGATTATTCCCCCCCACTCCCATTTAGTAATAATCTGAAGTGTCTTGTTCTCTCCACCTTGAGCCTATTCTGCAACATCTTGTTGCCACTTGCATTTGTTCAGTAAGTATTACAGTCTGGGTATAACTGTGAATTGAATATGAAACTTCTAAGAAAACTTCTACCAAGGAAATGTTTTGTTGTGGTTGCCTTTAGTTGGGAAGCAAGCTAGCAGAATCAATGAGAAGGAACTGTTTATATCTGGAATATTGTGTCATTTGTTGTTGGAAAACTCAAATTAAGCTATAGCCAATACAAAAAATTTTATTTTTGACCTTCCAAGGATGGCTGCTCATCTTTATTTCATTGTGGGGGCAAGGAAGAAAACTGGAGATGCAGATAATACGTGTTGGGAGTGTGGAAGAAATGTTTGTTGAAAATTGGTGTAAGATGAGCATCCAAAAACTCCTTGCTGCTCTTGAAAATTCAAGTTGTGGTTTAGTTTGAGAGGCTGCCTATGTGTGATTGAGCGAGAAACTTTGGGGTTTGGGAAAATTCATTATTTAAAGGTAGGAATATAAAGAAATGCTCAGGGAGAACGGGAAAATAACTTTTTGTTTGTTTTTCCTGATGTGATTAAATACATTTGCTTGAAAAATATAGTAATCTTCTCAAAAGCAGTTGTGAGCTGCTTCGGTAAACAAGGCAAAGTCATATAATATGAATTTGTACCCTAATTAGCTGCAAGTCTCGGTTTAAACTTCAGTATCATGTCCTGGAATCCAGAATTTTTATATATTTTGTTGTCTCAGGGAGGTGATGTATATTACAACTGAGGCTAAGCTAAATACCTGTCTGTTTGGTGCATTGCCATGGTTTACATCCTGTTATGGAATATATAGGATGTAAATACTTAAAAATATGACAGGCTTGTAGTGATATATGTCACAATGTTGAGCCAAAGCAAAGCTAACCGATCACTCCTCCCCCTATCCCTCCAGGTCTTTGGCAGACTTCTGATGTTTGTTAGGGATCAACAAGGATACTGGTTTGCTCTTTTTACAGGAATGAGAGAGCTGTTGTTCCTCTTTCAGTCCTCTGTGAAAGATTTGGATTTTTTTTTTAAGCTTATTTATAGTGGAGGCTAGCTATTTTTAAAGCAGATAGAACTTCTTTAGATTGATACTACATCAGCCAAAGCAGAGAGTAGTTGGCATCTAACAGGGTAGTGGAGCTCTTTCACATAATGGTGTCATGTAAATCCTGAAAAATATTTGAAACTCCTTCACTTTTTATGCTGTTTTTACTTGTCTACTTTTTCACGTTATGCGATGGTGAGGTTTTTTTGTAGTAGCTTGAAAATGAAATAGAACCATACTTAAATATGCAGTGAGAGAAACTTTTTGTGTAAAGAAAAGATGGCAGTTTCTGTGTATGCATCAGCTATTCAAAGAGAAGGAAATTTCTGAACTGTTAGGAACATATTAATATTGTATATAAAATTAAGGTAAATATTTTCTTAACTTTGGTTGCTGTAGGGGGAAACCTTTTAATCGGAAAGAGGCTTTCACTTAATTCTTCTTGATATCGTCAGCACGAGTGTGAGGGAAGCGGTGTGATTCCAACAAAAGTAGACAATTTGGAAAAGTGCAAGCAAATACATCTCCAGAGAATGCCTGCTGTTGTTTAACAGTATTGGAATGTGTAGCTGTGTGATCAAACTGGTATAGAAAAGCCTGTTGGATTTTTTTCTCTTTCTTTTTTTTTTCTTTGGCTAGGGGACAAAATTTTAGGAGAAAAATGGATGGTGACATAATGTGAATACGCAGTATATGGCAGTAATAATTGCCACTTTGGTCTTGTGCTGTGTGTCCTGAAACAGAGTGACTCTGTGTAGTTCTGTGTCTGTGGGACTGTAATAATGGTAATATTAAATTATAAATAGGAAAAAATTAATGAGATGGAGGAAGTTGTAGTGGAAAAATAATACACAAATACTAGATTTCCAGGGATTCAGTGTTTAAATGTGACTTGGATAAAGCTCAGGTGAATGCTGTACAAATATTTTTGAAGGGCACACAGAGGCAAAAAAAATTATCAGACACCATAAAAGATAATCTAGCTAGTTCTTCCTGGGTTAAATTAAGAGGGGGAGAGTAGACTCAGTATTAAAAAAAGAAGAAAATCCAGAATTTGAGATGTGCTTGGATATAAAATAGAAAGTGATAGAAAGCTTTGCAATGAAACACTTTGGCTATTGCTTTCCAGTCTTATCTGAAAAGAGAAAGGCTGACTATTGTTTGCAAAGGGTATCCTGATAAAACCATTT